GGCATTGCTGGCAGGAGTGAAACACAAGTAGGCGGGCACAGAAGCTGGTGAGAGTGGCAGCTGCAACAATAAGACGATTTCCCTTTGGTCATCAGTATGGGCACACACAAAAGACAATGCCACAGACAGCCTGTGGTGTGCTCAGGCAATCAGGACTGGGAGCTTCTGTTAGCTAACAAAATGGGCCTTTCATAGCCATGTAAACGAGCCTCAGTTGGCTAGAATGAAAAGCAGCAACAAACATTTTTTTCAGTGGCAATGTTCATGGCACAAGTTTAAGGTACAGGCATGAAACTATGTACATATCAAGTACCCAAAATTTCTGCATTAAAGGCTGAACTTGAAATGTATGTGCAGCCCTCAATGGGTGAAACATATTAGACTAATGGGCAAAGCTAAACAATGCTAATGTGCAGTGTGCCAACCAGTTCTGTACCAAGACACCTGACAATGCCATTAAAAAGGCAAAACCATTGGTCTCTGAGTTTCCCTGGTAATCCTAACTTCCTTTGATGGGCTGTCAAACTTTAGCCATTTAGTGTGCCTTCTGGCTGTTCTGGCCTGAGATGACCAACAAAAAGGCTCAAAGTTATTTGAGCCTGTGATGGCTAATCTGGTCTGATGCATTTACAGCATCACAAATTCACAAATGACTTATTGAGCCTGAGATGGCTATCCAAGCTTTAAACAGCTACCAGAGTCTTGAATAGCTGATGTAAATGTTTTTTGTTTTTGTTGTTCTGCAGCCAGTTGGGTGTCTTGTCTATACACTCAGAATGGCTTGAACATTATCCAAGCTATTGGGCCAATGCGTTCCCACAGTAGCTGCTCCAGCTTTCTCTTTCTCAACCTTGGCTAATGGAGAGACAGCAGAGTAAACTAGAAGTCTAGCAGCTCACAACTAAAGACAATCCACAAGCCAAACTTTTTTGGGCCAAGGAACCAGAATTGCCAGCCACATCTGTATGTGGCAACACGGTACCACACTCCTCCTCTCTCAACCCACTCAGACTTCAGGACACGAAAGTCGTGCTCAAGGAAGTTCATCCTGAGATGCTATAACAGAAAATTACCAGCAGGGCAACTTGATTCACCCCCAACAGAATGCAATCAAGAAGCCAAGTCTTCCAGCCAGAATCCCACAGCACACAGGTCCATCCATTCTCAGTGCGCACATCAGTGATGTAATCATTTGCAGCAGAACTCCACATGGCTTCCAGGCAATGAAGCACTCAGCAACTTGATCCCAACAACAGCTGCCAGAACATACAATATTTTCCCAGTTGGAAAATATCAAAAATCTTTAGATATAATATATGTGTAGTTTGCATTTTACTTAAAGAACAATGAGCATCTAGAATATGCAATTAATTACTATTTAAATTAGATATAGTTGTTAAACATAATTTTAGAATCAATAAAGTAAAATTAGAATTTGAAATTAATAATTTGTATTAAGGTGATTTTTCTTATTCATAAACTTTCTATAAATTATTTAATTAAACCAATCATTAACACTTATTGAAAATAATTAAAATAATTCATAAATTATTCTTAACTTTAAATCCTTTTTGAAAGTTTTGTTCTAAAAATATTTGTATTGCAACATCTAAAGATTAAAATGTTTAATCTAGCACCTAGGTTGAAATTACCCAAAACTAGATTTTCAATCTAGCCACTAGATTGAAATTACTTACAACTAGATTTTCAATCTAGCCACTAGATTGAAATTACCCACAACTAGTTTTTCAATCTAGCCACTAGATTGAAATTACTCACAACTAAAGTTTCAATCTAGCCACTAGATTGAAATTTCTGAAGACTATAATTTTCAATTTAGTCATTGGGTTGTTTTTAAGGTTTAATCAATATTAGTAAAAAATAGTTAATGAATATTTATTTTTTATTTATAGTGTTTAAACTTTTGAAAACATATATACTGTAAACATTCAAAGGCTAGCATATGTGAGCCTTCTAAGGCTAATAGCTGGGAGCCTTCCATAGCTGATTTAATATGAGCCTTTTTAAGGCTACTAGTGTGAGCCTTCAAGGGCTAATAGTATGTGAGCCTTCAAAAGCCACTAATATATGAGCCTTCAAGGGCTAATCTATGTGAGCCTCCAAGGGCTAGGATATGTGAGCCTTCAAGGGCATGTTGAAGCTAAAACCTTTGAGCCTTCAAGGGCTGAGAGCCATTTATTTTTTCCCACCTCTTCACTGTCATCAGGATTGCTTGGGTCAAGGCAAATATCCTAACAGGTGAAACGCTGTCAAGCCCACCAATTGGTGGAGACTCAAAAGTTGGAACAGCTGGTCTTGGATGGGGTAGAACTGCTGCAATCTCACCATCTCTTGCTCACACCGGCGTAACTCCCCTGAAGCATAGAGAGCAACAAGGGTAACCAATTTGTTTTGGAACCCAGTCTTGCGCTTCTCAGCCTCACATGCTGGAATCAGGGCAAAAAAAAAACAAAAACACCACCAAAAAATCAATGAAGTGGAATCAAGGTGCATAGCGATAGGTGTGCCACTGTCCACGCACATCTTGCCACTGGAAGCCATCCTGATTGTGCACAATTCCGGTTTGTGCAGTCAGGTTTGCAGGTACTCCTTGTCCAGCATGTCCTTGAGGGACTCCATATCCAGCATGTCCAGCTGGAGCAGGTACTCCATGCCATGGAGCCTCCAACTGCATTGCTTAAAAACAAGCCTCTATCCCCACAGACTAGTCAAAGTTGAAGTAAAAAGCCAAGAAGCTGGTGCATGTGCAGGTCCAACATCTGCAGGAGCTGGTGCAGCACTGGCAGCCACTGCAGCAGCCAGAGAACCACCATGTTTAGGATGCCCATCTCCACCCTTCTGATGCTCAGCCTCAGAAAGTCCAAGGGAACACATGATTCAAGTTTCCTTGTTGTATCAACACCCCCCCCAAAAAAAAAAGCACAGCCAAGGAACAAGAGCAGCAAGGATTCTGTTGGCAATCTGGTCACTGCTCAGTGGCACATCCTCTTCCTCCTCCTCCACCTTGAGCTTCACCGCTCCATGCCTCAAGAAGAGCTGCTTCGTGTCAATCTCCACCTTCTGCCTCTTGGAGGGAGGATTTTTAGGCTCAGGAGGCCTCATAGCACCCTTAAGTCCAGCAGATGGTTGTGGTAGTTTGGCTTTAGGCTTGGACTCTAGCACCTTAAAGTCAGCCTTCTCCAAGTGCACCTCCTCATACTGCTGTCCACCCACAGTCGTCACAGGCCCAGTGGGCACACCTTCAACCACAGGTACCACTGGAGCAGCCAAAGTTGGCACATCATCTGGTGCTTCCTAAGGATGGCTCACCATGGAAGAATGTATATTAAAAACAAATCCCACATATTTTTAGGGTCAGTTAAAAAAATGATGATGTGGAGGCGCGATGCAGGCAGCACTCTCATGGGTCAGTTAAAAAAATGATGAAGTGGAGGCGCGATGCAGTCGCAGCACTCTCATCCTGCCACAGGGTAGTGATCAACCCCATCTCTCTCATGGTTTTAAAACACTTTGGCCAAAATGGGTCCTCCAGCTTCTTCTGGTACCACTCATTCTCAGCCTCTTGAGCCTCATGAGCTTCTGTCAACTCATTGGCCCAAGAGGCATAGTCAAACTCATCCTCTGTGGTGCCCCTTGTCACACCAGTAGTGCCTTTACTCAGCACTTTGAGCTTGAACCAAACACAGCCATGGGCCCATATGAATGAGCTGATCCCCTGGAGGGTAAGTAAAAAAAACACTGGAATTCTTTAAAAGACTGAGCCTGCTATGGGCTAATCAATACAATTGAGCTTTCAAACAGCTATTATTTAAGAGTGAGCCTGCCAAGGGCTAGTACATGCAATGAGCCTGATCAAAGCTAATTGGTCCATGAGCCTTGCAAGGGCAAATCCAAGAGCCTGCTAAGGGCTAAGTATTATATGAGCCTTCCAAGGGCTAGCCATGCAATGAGCTTACTCAGGGCTACTTATTTTGAGCCTCTAAGTGGCTAATTGGAATGAGCCTGCAACAGGGCTAGAGCAACTAAGCTTTCAGAGGGCTGGTAAATTCCAGCCCATTAAGGCTTCTGAAGCTCAAGCATTGAGCAAAGAGCAGCAAGATACGTTTTTCCTCTCTGCATCAGGACAAGGAAGTGCTTACTTGCTGTGAAGTTCATCTTCATCTTTCTTGCCACCTTTCTTTCTGTAACTTCTCTTGTTGCTATCTTTGAAGCAGGTGTCCACATCTGTGGACAAGAAATCAAAAGTGACAGCCAGCATGCTGGAGTCCAGCAGAACAGAAACATCTTTGTCCTTCCAAGTGCTGGGCTTGAGGACCTCAATGTCATTGCCATCTAAGTTCAAGGTCAAAAAGTCAGGACCACTGGAAAGCTTGAGCTTCTTTTTGGGATGCTTCTCAACCTTGAACAAGTCCTTCTCCTTCTCTTCCTCCTCCTTTGCCTCAGACAAGGCTTTGTGCAAAGCCTCTTCTTGCTTCTTCCTCAAAGAATCAAAAGCATCTCCCTGGCAAAGGCTAGGGTTCTTGCATGTCTTCAAAGCTTCCAGGTTGTCTGCTGCCACCAATCTGCACACCAGGGGATGGCTGCCCTGTATCTTCAGAAACTTCCTTCCATCAGGGCCAACAGACACCAGGTTGTCTGGCACCACAGCCTTATTAACACCTTTGTAGGAGAGGACCACTTTCTCTGAGATGTCCACCATGGCTGGCTAAGCTAGCACTCTGCTACACTTGAGGAATAATGCCTGCCAAACAAGAGGCATGAAACCTCTGAAGCATTTCTTTTGACAACACCTTTGGCTTGAGCTTTGTATAGCTTTGAAGGCAGAAGCTTTTCACATAAAAGCGTTCTATAGCTTGTGATTAAAAAAAGCCTTTGATGGCTAACAATGCAAGAGCTTTCTGTAAAGTCTTAGGTGCTGAAGCTTCCTACAGCTTGTTTTAGGCAGCAAACACTTTCTTGGGAAGACAGCTTTCAATGCCTCAGTCTCTGGATTTCTTCTTCTTCTTCTTGCTTTCCTCTTGAACCTCAACCAGCAATGGGGATCCAATCTGCAGGGCCACCTTGTTCTTCAGGCAAGGAATGGTCAGCTCATGGTGCTTCACAGTCGCTCTGGTCAAGGTGGCTTTCTCACAGGTAGCATCATCTTTGTCCTTGTCATCTTCGGCCTCTTTGCACCAATAGAATGGACACCAGTGGCCACTCTTCTTCTCAAAGTTGCACTTGGTATGTGTCACCACCAAAACTTCTTCAAATTTCCAGCCAGCCATCTGAAGCACAACAGAACTCTTGTTGATGTTTTCCTTTTTCTGTAAAACCACCTGGCCAAGTGGAAGCAACACCAAATCGTTTTTGTTGAACTTGGAGTTGGCAAAGAGCTGGGAAGTAGTGGACACCACGGCATTGAAGTCACCCAGCCTGGCTCTGCAAGAAGTGTCAGAAATTATCAGTCTCCCCATACAAAGAGGGCTCACCACAGCAGGTAAAATTTTACCAATATCATTCCAAGGTGCTCATGGTACTTCTGGTAGAGCCAATGTTGGGCTTTGGCCCTTCCAAACTCAGCCATCAAGCAAACACTGGGCTGCAAGGCAGTCAGGGTGGCAGCTGGCTGCAAACTGGGAACTGACTTTTCCCAAGCCCTCAAGCCTTTCAAGTCCTTGTGTTCCACTTCTAATTTCTCAAAGGCACCAAAAAATGGTTTGTGTAGAAGCACAGCTGTGGTGGCACCAATGCTTTCGAATTTGTACACCTTCAGAGGATCTGTGGCAAAGGTGTAGTGCTTTCCCACTTCCAAATTCTTGAAATGCGCCAATGCAATGAGGGCAGGGTCTGAATTAGCCTGCAGGGCCAAATGATGACAGGGTTGCTATATACACCAGTAAAAAGCAAATTTGATCAAACACCTTGCCTCCAAAGCAGTTGGCTGCACTGCTTTGTCTACACTGGCACTGCTGGATGGCAACTGCTCTGCCAAGTCCATGGAGCCATGTGCCTTCATGTTCATCAGCTCTTGAGTGAAGAGATCTGCGATGTCTTCAAACTGCTTGTAATTCTTTCCTTCAGGGCCTTTAGAACCTTTGCCAACCAGGAACAAAGCCAACCTGGTCAAGTATCCGCCCATGGGCTGAGCTTGCTGGTCCAAGGTAAGTGAACTTTGACCACACAAAGCCCAAGCTTCATTCAGAAGCTTCTCAGCAGCTGCCAATTGCACAGCCATTCCTTTCTGCTTCAGCTTGGAAAAATCTGCAGAGGTCAGCAGCCTGGAGATGCCATCTCTAATGTATTGCTTGGGAGCACACATGTAGCAGGCTGCCATTGCCAACCGAATCCAAGGGTAGGTGGTAGTTGGGCACTTGAAGTCAGTGTAGGCCAGCAATTCAGTAAATTCCTGGCCCCAAACTGTAGAACCACCATATTGTTTGCTTCAGTATGGGCAAATGGCTTTGGTAAAGCAACAAGTTCAAGGAACAAACTAACTAATTGGGTAAGGAGCCTCTGATGGCTGCTTTGGAGGAGCTTGCTATGGCTGGCTAACAGTCTAGCTGCAGCTGAGAGACCAATGGAGTAGCTTCAGCAAAGGAAACGCATCACCACCAGTGAACTGCTTCACAAAGGCAGTGATGGCAGCAATGTAATTGGCACAGGCTGGTCTAGAAGCCATCGCTGCTTCCTGGGCCTTCTTGAGGTGGTCCTTGGAGGTGGTGGCCTGCAACTCATAGATGCTTGCAATGTTGCAAGCAGTTTCCAACTCATTGGCTGTTGTTTTAACAGCATGGTCAGAGTTCAGTGCTTGGGCCAGGAATTGTGGAAGTTCAGGGCAAGCAGACTCAACCTGGCTGTCAATCACCTGGCATTCCCATCCAGTAATGACCATCTCCTTCAAGTCATCCTTCTTCTGGCACATTGAGTCCAGTGACAGGTAGCCACCAGTGCTGATCTCAGGCTCTGTAGTCTTGCAGCCAGCCTGCACTGCCCTCAGGAAAGTCACCAAGTGGCTGCTGGACACTGAGGCAAACCTTTCACAACCAAGTGGCTCACACAGCTGGTTCTGGGACAGCTGGGCCAAAGACCTGTTGGTCTCTATCACTTGGTCTTTGTTTGCCATAGCAGATTGCAATTCAAAACAAATTGATTCTCCAATTTTGGCCATGGAGAAACCAATCTGAGCCATCACAGCACCTTTGCTGTGCACATCAGACACAGACACTAGTTGCCCACCTCTGTTCTTCACATGCACCAGAATCATCTTTGGCTCAATGCATTGTCTGTAGCATAGGCCATTCTGCTTCAGGATCTCCAGAATGCGGTTGCATCTGCTGGCAATGGGTAGACTGCTGTCTTGCTGAACCCTTACCACTTCACCCTTCCATGTAGCACCAGCCATGGCTTTCGAGCCAGTGTCACAGAAAGTCACTGTCTGTTTTCTTGTGTTGGCATGAGGTGCTTCTTTGCTTATTGTGCTGTCTTGTGTATTTCTGTTGTCTTGTCTACATCTTTTCCTGTTTACTTGTGTCCATGTTACTTCTTTATTTGTGTCCTTGTGCCCTTTGAGGGCAGGAGCTAAGTCTTTGAGGTTATTTCATGTAATTTAACCAAATGTTACACCCATGTGCAGCAGTTCCTTGGGAACACATTTTCTTGAGAGAAGCAGCAGCAAGTTTTCCTGCCTTGGTTCCCTTGAAAACCAAGAGCGGCACAATGTCCACAGAAAAAGAGCTTAACAACAGCTGAAACTTTAGGAGAGCCTGCTTGGGCTAAAGATTCTGAGCTTGTATAGAGCTTTGTTTGGGTCATTGAGCTTATATATGGCTGACAGGTTTTCCATGTTTTTTTCCCCCCTGCTTTCTCTTGTGTTCTCACGAGGTTCACTGAAAGAATGTGAATCTTCTGGCTTTCTTCAAGACTTTGTGCATTTTTTATGGAAATGTTTTTTTTCCCGAGAGCGCCCGTTCTTGCGAAAGGGTTTTCGAAATAAAGAAGACGTTTTTTTTTTATACACATCTTCACACCTTCACACCTGCAGATCTAGACTTCACACCTTCACACCTGCAGATCTAGACTTCACACCTTCACACCTGCAGATCTAGATCTTCACACCTTCACACCTGCAGATCTAGATCTTCACACCCTCACATCTGCAGATCTAGATCTTCACACCTTCACACCTGCAGATCTAGATCTTCACACCCTCACATCTGCAGATCTAGATCTTCACACCTTCACATCTGCAGATCTACATCTTCACACCTTCACACCTGCAGATCTAGATCTTCACACCCTCACATCTGGAGATCTAGATCTTCACACCTTCACACCTGCAGATCTAGATCTTCACACCCTCACATCTGCAGATCTAGATCTTCACACCCTCACACCTGCAGATCTAGATCTTCACACCCTCACACCTGCAGATCTAGATCTTCACATCCGCACACCTGCAGATCTAGATCTTCACACCCTCACATCTGCAGATCTACATCATACATCTGCAGATCTCCTCTCGCTTTCTTCTATTTCTCTCTTTAAGGCGGGGGGAGGGCTGAGTGCCGCCCGGAGCGCCACGAACGCAAACCCTTGTCGCACGAACATGACGTGGGACGTCCAAAACATCAGTAAAAATTGCGATTTTTGAAGCGTTCCAGGGCAACCCTTTTCTGCACGAATGGCGTTGGACGTCCAAAACCTAGGTTTAAATTGCGATTTGGAAGGCCGCGCGCAACACTTCGCCAAGAAATGGGACGTTTGGAAGTCAAAAAACTGAGGAAAGGGAAAATTGCGAATTTGAAGCGTTCCCGCGCAACCCTTTCGCCGAAATTGGACGTTGGACGTAAAAAACTGGGAAAAATTGCGACTTTGAAGCGTCCCGCGCAACCCTTTCGCACGAAATGGACGTTGGACGTCAAAAACTGAGGAAAAATTGCGACTTTGAAGCGTCCCGCGCAACCCTTTCGCACGAAATGGACGTTGGACGTCAAAAACTGAGGGAAAATTGCGACTTTGAGTTGTCAATCGCAACCCTTACGCACGAAATGGACGTTGGACGTCAAAAACTGAGGGAAAATTGCGACTTTGAGTTGTCAATCGCAACCCTTACGCACGAAATGGACGTTGGACGTCCAAAACTGAGGAAAAAATGCGATTTTACTTGGTCAATCGTAACCCTTTCGCACGAAATGGACGTTGGACGTCAAAAACTGAGGAAAAATTGCGATGGACGCTTTTGTTTCTGTACAAGTGTCTGTGTGTAAAAGCGTCTGTGTGTAAAAGCGTTTGTGTGTCAACGCGTCTGTGTGTAAAAGCGTTTGTGTGTGAAAGCGTGTGTGCGTGTGTGTACAAGTGTCTGTGTGTAAAAGAGTCTGTGTGTAAAAGCGTCTGTGTGTAAAAGCGTTAGTGTGTGAAAGCGTGTGTGCGTGTGTAAAAAGAATCTGCGTGTAAAAGCGTCTGTGTGTAACAGCGTTTGGGGGTCAAAGCGGCTGTGTGTAAAAGCGTTTGTGTGTGAAAGCGTGTGTGCGTGTGTAAAACGCATCTGCGTGTAGAAGCGTCTGTGTGTAAAACCGTCTGTGTGTAAAAGCTTTTGTGTGTAAAAGCGTCTGTGTGTAAAACCGTCTGTGTGTAAAAGCTTTTGTGTGTAAAAGCGTCTGTGTGTAAAAGCGTCTGTGTGTAAAAGCGTTTGTGTGTAAAGGCTTTTGTGTGTCAAAGCGTCTGTGTGTCAAAGTGTGTTTGTGTAAAAGCATCATGTGTAAAAGCGTTTGTGTGTAAAAGCTTTTGTGTGTACTTTTACCGCACGACATGGAACTGTTAGAGATTGAGGGTGAAAATGCTTGCTAGTGTATCCGTGCTAGGACGTGCGGAGCTTGGTTCGTTTGGTGTGATAATCTGTGTGGGAATTGAGATGTTCATAGTGAACTTCACTGTTCAGTTTGCATGTCTATGCGACAATGATGTTTGCTTGTCAAACGCAGGAGTCGTGGTCTCAGGCTTCGAAGAACACATTCTTTGCATTGAATTGAAACTAGTTTTTTGTTGATGCGTTCAGCCTTCAGTTTGCAGGTCTCTGCGACAGTGGTTCTTTGCCATGTCAAACTCATGAGTGATGTTCTCAGTTTGGAAGTCAGAGAACAAATGCTTTGCAGTGGATTGTGCAACTCTGCAGCGACAAGCATAGTTTACCTCTTTATCTCTTTCCTGGGCTCAGACGTGAACGTAGAGACAAGATGCATTGTGCACGGAGTGAACATCCATATTCTTATATGTACGCTGAATGTTCGAGAAACAAGTGACGATTGGCCAACAGGGTTCTTTAACATTTCTTGCACTTCTCGAGGTTTCTGTAGGGGCTGTCTGTGAGATCTCGAGAATTGCATTGTGTGACATGTCAGTGTTTGTTTACGATGCAGTGGATCTATGTGATGTATAGCACGAAAACAATATATGTGATGTTTTCATTGAAATGCATGAGCAATGGACAAAAAATGATACGGGAATCATTGTACCGTTCAATTTTGTACCGTTCAATTTTGTTTTGAAATCAAGCATGTCATGGCATTTTTTTGAAAGCAAGCGAACAAATATGCATGTCTCGGAATTTCTGAATGCAAAATGTTTGTTTGAAGTCACGCACCCGTGACGTTTGTGGACGTTTTGTGGTCGCTGTTTCATTTGCTGAAGGGAATGTCTGTGCGAATGGAGCATGCGACCGCGTCATCCGCGTCGTCCGATGCCGTGGAACTTCGGATGCAGAGGCATTGCGAGATGATGCAAGATGGTGTTGCCGAGCTGCTGAGTTTTTTGTTACCGAGCTTTGTTAAACTATTTTTTTGTTGATGCGTTCAGCCTTCAGTTTGCAGGTCTCTGCGACAGTGGTTCTTTGCCATGTCAAACTCATGAGTGGTGTTCTCAGTTTGGAAGTCAGAGAACAAATGCTTTGCAGTGGATTGTGCAACTCTGCAGCGACAAGCATAGTTTACCTCTTTATCTCTTTCCTGGGCTCAGACGTGAACGTAGAGACAAGATGCATTGTGCACGGAGTGAACATCCATATTCTTATATGTACGCTGAATGTTCGAGAAACAAGTGACGATTGGCCAACAGGGTTCTTTAACATTTCTTGCACTTCTCGAGGTTTCTGTAGGGGCTGTCTGTGAGATCTCGAGAATTGCATTGTGTGACATGTCAGTGTTTGTTTACGATGCAGTGGATCTATGTGATGTATAGCACAAAAAAAATATATGTGATGTTTTCATTGAAATGCATGAGCAGTGGACAAAAAATGATACGGGAATCATTGTACCGTTCAATTTTGTACCGTTCAATTTTGTTTTGAAATCAAGCATGTCATGGCATTGGTTTGAAAGCAAGCGAACAAATATGCATGTCTCGGAATTTCTGAATGCAAAATGTTTGTTTGAAGTCACGCACCCGTGACGTTTGTGGACGTTTTGTGGTCGCTGTTTCATTTGCTGAAGGGAATGTCTCTGCGAATGGAGCATGCGACCGCGTCATCCGCGTCGTCCGATGCCGTGGAACTTCGGATGCAGAGGCATTGCGAGATGATGCAAGATGGTGTTGCCGAGCTGCTGCGTTTTTTGTTACCGAGCTTTGTTAAACTAGTTTTTTGTTGATGCGTTCAGCCTTCAGTTTGCAGGTCTCTGCGACAGTGGTTCTTTGCCATGTCAAACTCATGAGTGGTGTTCTCAGTTTGGAAGTCAGAGAACAAATGCTTTGCAGTGGATTGTGCAACTTTGCAGCGACAAGCATAGTTTACCTCTTTATCTCTTTCCTGGGCTCAGAGGTGAACGTACAGACAAGATGCATTGTGCACGGAGTGAACATCCATATTCTTATATGTACGCTGAATGTTCGAGAAACAAGTGACGATTGGCCAACAGGTATCTTTAACATTTCTTGCACTTCTCGAGGTTTCTGTAGGGGCTGTCTGTGAGATCTCGAGAAGTGCATTGTGACAATGTCAGTGTTTGTTTACGATGCAGTGGATCTATGCGATGTATAGCACAAAAAAAAAAATATGATGTTTTTCATTGAATGCATAGCAGTGACAAAAATTATACTGGGAAACTCATGTACCGTTCAATTTTGTACCGTTCAATTTTGTTTTGAAATCAAGCATGTCATGGCATTGTTTTGAAAGCAAGCGAACAAATGTGTATGTCTCGGAATTTCTGAATGCAAAATGTTTGTTTGAAGTCACGCACCCGTGACGTTTGTGGACGTTTTGTGGTCGCTGTTTCATTTACTGAAGGGAATGTCTGTGCGAATGGAGCATGCGACCGCGTCATCCGCGTCGTCCGATGCCGTGGAACTTCGGTTGCAGGAGCTGCGTAGCAGTGCTGTGACCAGGGGTCGTGAATGGCTCCAGGATGCCCT